ATCATACCCTGCTGTTAGACAATTTTCCAGAGCTTCCCTCCTACTACTGATGTAGGAGGGAAGCTCTGGAAAATTGTAGCTCACTGTTCACCACTGTAAGCTCCTCTCGTACCTCTGTGATCTCACCACTCTATTTTTGTTTCTGGTCTTTAAAATTTTCCCCCAATTCAATTTGCACCTCATGAAACGCATCATTCCATTTGTTACACATCGCATACAAAGCTTCATCCCGTTCCTGAATTTTCTTGTCGATCTCTTCCTGCAGCTGGTGTAGTTGTTGCCTCTGTTCTTGCAGTATTTTTATATGTTTTTCGGTCTGTTTTTGTAGCTGTTCTTGCAACCATGTTTGTTGATCCTTCTCTTCTTCCAGTAGTTGTTTCTGTTCTTCTCGGTGTGATTGTAGCTGTTCTTGCAACCTTATTTGTTGCTCCTTCTGTTCTTCTAGTAGTTGTTTCTGTTCTTCTCGTTGTGATTGTAGGAATTGCATCAGATCAGTCATGGAAATCTCCCCTTGCCTGGCCTGGCTTCTGGTCTGGACACCGTCGCCTTCCATCTTGACTGATATCTCACCGCTAGGCTATCCCTCTCGTGACACCAGTGTTACGACCCACCTCCTTTCACCGCTTACCCAGCTTCCGCCACTGGTTACCAGTGGCTAGGGTCGTATGTACAGAAGCAATAGATAACTCAAGTGTCGTCGAATTACCACTGACTGTCCCGCCAGTCTCCGGTAAGTTCCCGGCGATCGATATCAGTGTACAGATAAACAACAGGCAAGTAGATTTCCACCAGGTCACAGAAACACACTTGTGCACTGTAGTCTCCTTTAATAAGCATTGATTCTTCACAACACTGTTAACAGGGTATTGGCTTCACAGCTGGACTTCTCACTTCAAATATACTGTATACTGTAATCGGCACAGTACCAGTGTACAATTCCTTAGTCTTTTCAGTTTATATTAATCACAACAATTCCACAATAATTGCGCAACAATTTTCTTCAGTTATTCTACTAGGCTTATTTTTTACACTATGAACAGAAGCGATCGACTGACTCCAGACAGTTCACTGCTGCTTATACAGTATGACTCGTCAGACGCATCTCGAACAGCCTAGCACCACTCAGAGACACCTGGGCAGCAAGTTATTGGAAGCTCCAACAACTTTCCCTGAATACGAATTCGCAACTTTTCGATTTACACCAGGTACCTACTTTACTGCTAGGTGAACAGGGACATAGGGGAGCTAGGAAGTGTGTCCAAACAACTTTCCACCGGCCCGGGAATCAAACCCGTGACATCTCGCTTGCGAGGCAAGTGCGGTACCGCTCTACCACCGGCGCCCCATATACTAATGAATATAATATAAACTTGATCAATTGTTGTGTTGCCGGTGACCTTACCCGTTCCTACCGGGGACTGACCTGACTGTTCGCAGGCGACCTCACCTAGGTACATTCTTAACCCCTTATAATCCGCCGATCGAAAGTCTGGGACTCTGACCATATTGTCATTGTTTTTCGTTTTCCAATTTAAGGTGAACCTGATTTCTCTGTGATCACTGTTCCATAGTTCTTCCCTTACTGTGATATCTCTGATAATATTTCTTGTATTTGTTAATACTAGGTTGAATATAATGTCACTTCTAGTAGGTTCTGTAATTAGTTGTTTTAAAAAATTGTCCTTTACTGCATCTAGGAAGTCTTCAGATTCATAGTCACCAACAATGTTGCCCTAGTCAATTTTTCTGAAGTTGAAATCCCCCATAATGCACAGGTTATTGTTTTTGCTGCCCTACTCATTTCCTGCCATATGGGCTGAGCTGCTTCTCTCCCAAGACTTGGGGGCCTGTAAATCACTCTCAGAATTAGTTTTTCTCTTCCTTCCGCAATTTCTACCCATACAGACTCGGTTCAAATTTCACCCTTTATTGAATTATTAATACAATATTTTAATGCATCAGTGACGAATAGTGCGACCTCTCCCCCATTCCTACCTTCCCTGTCCTTGTGAAAAAGGTTGTACCCTTCTATGTGGTACTCCAATAAAAAGTTCTTGCTCGCCAGATTCATCCAAGTTTCGGCGATTGCTATGACGTCTACATTCTCGGTAGATACAACCGCTCTCAGCAAGTCTATTTTATTTCTAACGCTCCTACTGTTTGTATAGTATACATTTAAACCTACCCTTCCTTGGTCCTGTTTTACCCCTTGTCCTGAGTAACCAATTTACTCCCAGGACCTGCTTCTTTTTTTACCCCCACTTACCCTGACCTCTCTCAACTAGCGAAATTCCCCCTTTAGCGTGACGATTTCACGCTCCAGGGATGCAGACAACGTCTTTACCCCCGCGCAAGACAAGTATACTCCGTCACGACTGTACAGCTAGCCGTTGCCATAGAATGGTATCAGCTATCAATCAATACCCAACCATCGCTTGCACAATGTTTTTCTAGTCAGTAATTTATAGCAATTGCCCTGGACAGCCATTCACCGCCAACTCCTCTTCTAGGCAAGACACCACATACTATCGGGATCCCATCCCTATCTCTAACCTTCCCCAGCGCCTCCCTATACCTCTTGAAAAGTTCCTCACTCCTAACCTTTCCTATGTAGTTACCTCCTACACTAAGACACACTACTGGCTTGGTACCCTCACCTGACAAAACCCTATCTGTCCTCTCAGCTACATGCCCTATCCCAGCCCCAGAAAACCACACCCTAGTCCTACGTTTCCTATTTCTTGCATAAAATGGCCTATCTAAGAACCCCACCTGGCTGCCCCCATCTACCACGACCTTACCACTGGGCAGGGTTTGCACAACTGCCCTTTTCTCTCCTGGCACCACACCGTCCTACCTCTTCTCTTCCTCGGCAGCTTCCTCCAACACTTGATAGGGGTTACTGTACTCCATACCCTGGTCAGCTTACCTGAGTCTGACCCTAGCCCACCTGGAGACAACCACTCTCCACGCCTACTCCTCCTGACCCTCCTTCGCAGGTGTCCCGCTAGGCAGGACACCTACCTGAAGGAATTCAGTCCTGAGGGCCTCGTTCTTCCCCTTTAAAACGTCTATCTTTCTCCTCAATTGCTCCAGCTGACATAACAGAGTGGCCAGGGGGTCGATTTTCCTCACACACCGTCCCTCTTCCTCCACAACACAACGATCCACGGCAGCCGTTTCCTATGTTCACTAACACGAGCACTTAGGGGCACTTCTTTCTCCAAGCTAGGTCAGGTAGCGTCAGGAACTAGGTCAGGGTCTCAATTGCTTCTCTTTCTTGATTTTTTTTCTCCATTTCTGTATTTGTTTGTATTAGCCCCCTAGTCTTTATATAAATGTGGGGTAGTATATTCAGGGGCGTTCCTGGAGTATTTGGCACCCGGGGCGGACCTATCCACTGGCACCCCCTTCCTTCCAGAGATGAATAAATATACAGTAAAAGTAAAATACACAATCGTCCCTAGAATACTGGGCACCCAGGGCAGGGTATTCCTTTGCCCCCTTACTCTTCCTCTACTGAGGCGAATGATAAAAAAATAATAATAATACTTTTAAGGAATTTTGGATAATACATAGTAAATATTATAAATGTTTTAGTTTCCTTCTATTAATATGGAAAATTATTATTATTTTTTTTACTAAAGTATTATGTAGCCTACATCAAGTGTACTGTAATATTCGTAAATAAAAAGCAGGTTTGTAAATGTGGATGATATTTAGGAAATCTACAGTATATATAAACAAGTGTATTTCCTAATTTCAACAAAATTTACACGATACAACAAAGCACATACAAGTAATTCAAATATACAAAGTACAGAAACCATACTGTATATAACTACAAGTTACACATTAAATAAAATATTACACAATGAGAAGGGTGCAGCCTTCTTCAACTCACTTTTATCAGAAACTTGACCAATAGCACTAGATTGTTCTAAAAACATAGGAAACCACGAGATACAAGCGGTATGCTTTCATCTAACGCAAAAAAAAGAAAAAAAAATTATATAAGAACATAAGAACATAAGAATGGAGGAAACTGCAGCGGGCCTATTGGCCCATACTGGGCAGTCCCGTTTACACCCAACCCCTATTGCTCATATGAGCATCCAACCTATGTTTGAAGCAATTCAGCGTATTCGAGTTAATGATGATATTTGGTAACTTGTTCCATTCATCCACTACTCTGTTTCCAAACCAGTGTTTACCTATTTCACGCCTAAATCTAAATTTGTCTAATTTAAAACCATTGTTACCAGTTCGCTCCTGGTTGGATAATTTGAGTACCTTTGTAATGTCCTCTTTGTTTAGCCCTGACTTCCACTTATACACCTCTATCAGGTCGCCCCTCGCTCTACGTCTCTCAAGGGAGTACAAATTAAGATGCTTTAACCTGTCTCTATACTCAAGGTTCCTAATGCCCGGGATTAGTCTTGTCATTCTCCTCTGAATTCTTTCCAAGGATTCTATATCCATTCTGTAATACGGTGACCAGAACTGAACTGCGTAATCCAGGTGTGGTCTCACAAGAGCAAGATACAGTTTTAGGATGACCTCGCTAGTCTTGTAACTAACACTCCTTTGTATGAACCCAATATTTTATATATATATATATATATATATATATATATATATATATATATATATATATATATATATATTAGTTTTACAGCCTCATCGTTCGTGACTCAGCTTCAGTAAACTTACCAATTATTTCATCAAAATTAACTGTCTTGGCACATTCATTTTCGATAAAAATCATAGCTAGTCTGTTCAATCTTGCCCGAGTCATGCTAGAACGAAGATAATTCTTGATGAGTTTCACTTTAGAGAAACTTCTTTCACATGATGCAACAGACAACATATTGTTAAAAAGAATCTCAGGCACAATGACAAGTTTGGCAAGGTTTCACAAAAGTCCCATTTGACAATAAACTTCAGGAACTGCAAGACTGTCCATTTATTTGCTTCTTCAGGTGTGATTTTGGCAGCCTTCATGTGTCCTCATCAGAAATTTCATTAAAAATCTTGGTCATGCTTGAATTTGAAATAATACCCTGAAGTTGTTCTTCTTTTGCAGAAAGCATGTAGCTTGGCTGAATAGCCTCTGAACGAGCATCCAATTCTAGACTAAATCGATCTAAGCATTCAAACATTGATCTCCTGATTTCCTCTTGCATTGTCAGTCCAGCATCCCTAGCCATCTCTCCTGGCATCATTTTCTTACGTCTTATCCTCCCTCTTGTTTCCATGGAGGTGCCAATTTCTTCACATTGTGTAGTTGCATATTGAATCGCTCTCTCCACAATTTCATTCCGCTGACCTCGAAGAAACAATTTCAAACCACTTTTCAAGACTTATTCCTTCTGTTTGCAAATACTTCTGTGTGAGATTCACTTCTTCCAGTACATCACACCAAAAACAAAGATAACCCAAAAAATAAAAATCACATACAGCTTTAAGCAAAACTTCAGCTGATCCTCTTGTGTCAACATTTTCTCTTTGATCCGTCACTTTTTCCAGAGCTATGACCAGCTTCTCAATATGTTTCTTGAGAGGCTTTACGGCATCATGATGTGCATTCCATCTAGTCTGAGAAAGTCTTTTGACTGTCAGGTTCAAATTTTCTTTCAGTACTTCCCATCGGTGAGTTGAAAGTGAAAGAAAGCAATTAAGTTTCTCTACAGTTCCAAAGAATGTTACACATAAAGAATTGGTTCCAAAAGAGTGTACCCTGTGGTGGATGTAATCCTAGACAAGGTTCTTGAAACTCCAGGGCACGAGCAGTAGATATATTCAACAAGTGGTACAAGACTTGGCGTGATAGCCAACCGGTACAGGAACAGGAGTCAGCACAAGGAACTCCTCGCCGTAGGCAGGCCGAAGCTGATCTGAGGGAAATTAGCTAGCTAGGCAAGGAGAGTTGCTAGACATTACTAGGACAATAAATGAGGTCTTCTAATTACTCGACTAGCGCGGTACAGACATAGTACATCGGGACATAGTAAATGGACATAGGCATTAGACATAAGCATAGACATCAGACATGCTATAATAATATGTAGTAATACAGACATGTGAATAAATGGTACAATGAATGGTGACGGAGTCTTGGCGTCAGGCGTGTTCACATATCTTGGTATGTACATATCTATACACCTCCCTCCCCCTTTACGCTCGTAGTGCAATCTCGAGCGGCTACGGACTCTTTTTCCATGAGTCGGGGGGAGCGGCGAGGGACAATGGAGGATCAACTGACGACCTTCGTTCCTGGTCTGGGCAAGGGGACACAGGGGACGGGGAGGAAGGTTCGTCACTAGAGGATGGCACTGGGCGGAGGTGGCGTCTGTTTCGCCACCACACACGACCACTGGGGAGGCGGACTTGGTACGAACGAGACTCGCCACGGCTCATGACGACCCCGACCTTGTCCCAGCGGTGTGACGTCGGGTCCTGGATTCGTACTTGCTGGCCGACGGCCAACCTGGGAAGGGGGTGGGCTTGGGCGTCATAGTGGCTTGTCACTTGGGCCATCCGGGCAGCCTCACGGCGGTCACACTCGTCCGCCTTGATCTGCCATTCATCTAAGAAGGACTGGGGGTGGGCAGGCACACAAGTACGAAGGGGGCGGCCATACAACACCTGGGCAGGAGAGCGTCCGGCAGGGGTAGGGGTGTTACGGAGTTCCAGTAGGCCCCTGTCGAACTCCTCGCAGTCCAGGTTCCCCGTCGGTGCTGTCTTGAGGATGAGGTATTTTACGGACTTTACCGCTGCCTCGGCGTGGCCATTCGCCTGCGGGTAATGAGGGGAGGTGACGATGTGGTGGACGCCCCAGCGTTCGGCGAAGCTCTTGAACTCGTGGCTATTGAACGGGGGCCCACCGTCGGTTCGGAGGCGGAGAGGCACTCCGACTTCCCGGAAGAAGCAACAAAACATCCGGATGACCCTGGAAGAGGTGGTGTCCCGACCACAGGGAACTACCACGGGCCATCCAGAGAGCCTGTCGGCGACCACCAGGAAAGACTTTCCGGCCACATTAAAGAAGTCGGCGGACACGGACTCAAAGGGCCGCTTTGGGAGGTCATTGCACAGGTACGGCTCTTGTTGCTGGCTGGGCTGGAGTTGCTGGCAAGGCTCACAGGCCTCAACCGTGCTCTTAATATCGGCGTCAATACCAGGCCAGAAGACGGTCTGACGGGCTCTGCGCCTGGTGGCTTCAACGCCGCGGTGGCTGTCATGGAGGCGGGATAAGGTGCGCCGGCGGAGGGCAGCGGGAACGACGATCCTGGGGCCGTACAACACCAGCTCTCCGTCCGCATAGAGGCTATCCCTTAGCTTCCAGAAGGGGAGGGCGGAGGCGTGAATGTCGTAGCGGTTGGTGGGGAATCCAGCGGAGACGTAGTCGAGGAGTTGGACGTATGCCGGGTCTTGAGCGGCGGCGATGCGAAGCTCCTGGAGAGTCCTATCGTCTTCGATGGAGGGCGTCGTCGTCGTCTTGTCAGCAAGAGAAGTGGCTGTGTGTGTCACTAAAGACCGAACGTGAGCAGCGGCCGTGGTACAGTCGACTTCATCTTCAGGTGTGGGGCGACTAACAGGGGCTCGGGAGAGGGCGTCTGGTATGCACAGAAGCTTCCCGGCGCGCCACACAGCTGTAAAGACGTAAGGGGCGGTCTTCTCTTTGAGACGTTGGAGGCGAGGATTTTCGATGGCGTCCAACGTGTAGTGATTAAGAATGGGTATGAGCGGGCGATGGTCCGTCATGAGGGTGAAATGCCCAAGGCCGAACAGGTAAAGGCGGCACTTGGCCATAGCCCAGGCGACTGCCAGCATCTCTAGTTCAATGGTGGCGTATCTGGTCTCCGTGTCCGTCAAAAACCTGGAGCCACACTGAACTAAGCGCAGTCTACCCTGGCCGTGGTCTTGAAGGAGGGCATATCCGAGGCCGTATAGACGGGAGGCGTCGGTCTGGAGGACCACTGGTAAGGACGGGTCGAAGGGTGCCAGGACTGGTGGTGACAGCAACGCCTTCTTAACATTCCTGAACGCTAGGTCGTGGTCAGGAGTCCAGAGGAAAGAGCGCTTGGGGCTCATGAGGGGGCGTAGAGGTTGGGCTGATGTGGCGATTTTAGGGGAGAAGTCGGCCAGCTGATTTACCAGGCCCATAAATGAGCGAAGGTCGGTCAGGTTCGCTGGAGTAGGGAAGTCCCTGATGGCCTTGACCTTCTCCTCATCAGCTGAGATCCCCTCTGGCGAGATGTTGTAGCCGCAGTAGTTAACTTGGGGGGCGGCGACCACAAATTTATCTTTGTTCAGGGTGATACCATGGGCACGACATCTTGTGAGCATCAGATGAACTCGGTTCAAGTGGGCCGGGAGATCATCGTCGAAGAGCAGGATGTCATCTACGACCTTCACGCAGTTGGTGACACCCTGCAGAGCCATATCCCCACGGAGGCAGTACGCATCCCCCGTTGCTGCGAAGCCCATGGGTCCGCGGCAGTGTTGGAAGCGGCCGTAGGGCGTGATGAATGTAGTGAGGTGGCGATCTTCTTCCGCCAGGTCGACTTGCCAGTACCCATGTAGTGCATCCGCCGTGGTAAAGAACTTTGCAGACGGGGTGACGCTGCGGACTGCTTGGATGGGCGTAGGCGATGGATGGGCGGGACGGGAGACCTGCGAGTTGAGATGGGTGAGGTCCACTGTGATGCGAACACCTACAGGCTTGGGTGCCAAGACCATAGGGTGGCACCACTCGGAGGGCTCCTCACCGGCGTGTCTGATGATCCCCTGCTGCACCAGAGAATCGAGCTCCGCCTTCACCTTGTCCCGTATGGCAAAGGGGATAGGCCTGGGTGTGTGGATGGCGAAAGGCGTCGCGCCAGGCTTGAGGTGGATTCTCATCGGGGGGCCTGTCATCTTCTTGAGCGGCGTCTTCTGGAGGTCGGGCTTGGAGACAAGGACGTCGCTGAACTGACGAAAAAAGAACTCCCGGGCGGCAGCAGGTGTGGTCATGGCTGAAACAGGTATCTCTGCACACCTGTTGAGGTGTGTCACGGCGAGGATGGGCTTTGGGAACTCGGATGAGACGATGGCCAAGTCCTGACAATGGCCACATGACAAGAGAGGGGTTTGGATGCCCTCATGGACGTGGACTGTGGCAAGGCAAGACTTGGGACCGAGCTGTAGTGTTGCCTTGAAGCAACCCAAAGGTGGAGCCATCGGGGACCCGTCCGCTGTGAGCACGTCGTTCATGGCTGTGGGTGACAGGCTACTCCTGGGAATGTTGAGGGCGTCCAGGTGTGTTGGTCCAATCACCGTGATGTCCGCGCCCGTGTCAGGTATCATCAGGAGGTTGGAAGAGTTGGTACCGTAGGACAGACGAACATTGACGGGCTTGGGGGACCTGTCACTCGAGGCATCATCCACGCGTCGGCATCCTTTGTTGTTCTTGGGAGACGGTGGTGTGGACGTTCTGTCGGGCTGTAAAGAGACGTTTTGACCTGGAGATGGAGGCTTCTTGGTGGACCTGCAACACTTGGCGAAGTGTCCTTGCTTGTTGCAAGCGTTGCATGAGGCCTTGTTGGCAGGACATCGAGTTGTGCGGGGCCAATGGCCTTGAAACCCACAGTTTCGACATGTACTATCAGCCGCAGGGCACTTTCCTGGACCATGCTGGCGCTGACAGTTTCTGCAGGATTCGGGAGAAGAAACTGGTGACTGTGACGGGGGCTGTGGAGAGGACGTCGTCTGCATCTGGCGTTGACTCCTCTTGTAGGTGGAGACGGCGTGGACTTGAGATGGCGATGAGTGTATAGCTGAGGCAGCCTCTCTTGTGGCCTCATACGACCTGCAACAGGTGACGAAGTCGGTGAGGGAAGAGGCGGCGTCGAGGGTGAGGAGTTTCTGAAGCAGGTCCTCGTCACGTACACCCATCAGCAAGATCATCTTGAGCTGGATCTCAGCACAGGTTACAGGATCGCCTGTACATAGGTCCACCTCGGTTGCTAGGTCCTTAAGTCGTGCATAGAAGTCTGAGAATGATTCCCCAGAAGCTTGTTTGCAGGATAGCAGTTCCCTACGACGCAAAGCTTCATTGCGGAGGCCACGGAAATGACTCTGCAAGGCGTTTAAAACCTCTGTCACTGACCTGGGGGAGTCAGGGGGGATGGCTAGCGTGTGCTCTAGGAGGCGTTGAACATCGAGGGAAATGCACGATCTTAATTGGATGAGTTGTTTATGAGGGGGCATTCGATTGAGGTCAGACATAACAGCAAAGTCTTCGAAACGACGTCGCCATTGACGGTATACTTGATATGTTGCATCAGATTGAAGAGGTGGGGGGCTGGGAACTGAAGACTTGCTGTGCAGGGGTGTACTCGAGACGGCAGGCGGTGGAGGAGGCACGGAGAGGTCGACGAGAGTTGAGACTGGAACAGGTGGTTGAGAAGACACTGAGGCATACCTAGGGGAGATAGGTGACGTGTGAGGAGGCGTTGTCTGAAGGATAGATGAAGAGGCTGAAGCTGGCGAATTGGTTGTGGCAGCTGGTGAAGTCGTCCTCGTTGCCAGCAATTCCAATAGGTCCAGGAATTTGCGGTTATCAGCTTGGTGTTGTTGTTGAAGTTGAAGACGGTAAGCTGATTCCTCTGACTGTCTTGACAATTCCTCTTGATGTCGTTTTTCCTCCTCTAATTGACGTCTTTGGGCTTCCTTCTCTTGGGAAACTTGTAGGAAGTGGATTAACTGACGTATATCCTGGCTCCCATCCTTTGAATTTGGCGCGCCCGGCGTGTGAGGCGTGAGGGGGGGTGGGAGGGTCTGTGAGGCGTCGTCTTCCTCATAATCCTCATATAAATTTCCCAGCAAATCGTCGTGGTCAGACATCTCGTGTTTGGTATGGTTGCGATGGGAAAGACAAGGAGAATAAGGTGAAGTGCTATATTTTCGCCAATGGATTTGCTTAAGTGTAGGAACCGGTGGGCAAGTAAAAGAGTACTGACTGTAATATTTGTGAAGTGAGAGGAGGCGGCTGGCGGCGGTGTATTCCTCCGCGCGCCCGGGCGAGATGCTGGTGATGACTCAGTGGAGGGGAGGGAGTCAATCAGTGGCTTGCGGGCCTGCGTGGATGGAGGATGTATGCCGGAAGTGCTGTCTTGGAAACTGGGCTGGAGGCGTGTCTGCTACCTGTAGGGCCGCAGAAACATAGCAAAGAGACATGAAAGGCACTGCACTTCACTTAGGGCACTTCACAAGGTCACAAAGCACTTTAAATCCAGGGGCACTGTGGAGTATATCTTCTGGGCGGGAAACACGAGGCCGGGAAACAGACGGGGCCGGCTCTTGAGGCTTGTAAACTGTCGTGTTGGAGCTACTCAAACTGCGCCATGTGGTGGATGTAATCCTAGACAAGGTTCTTGAAACTCCAGGGCACGAGCAGTAGATATATTCAACAAGTGGTACAAGACTTGGCGTGATAGCCAACCGGTACAGGAACAGGAGTCAGCACAAGGAACTCCTCGCCGTAGGCAGGCCGAAGCCGATCTGAGGGAAATTAGCTAGCTAGGCAAGGAGAGTTGCTAGACATTACTAGGACAATAAATGAGGTCTTCTAATTACTCGACTAGCGCGGTACAGACATAGTACATCGGGACATAGTAAATGGACATAGGCATTAGACATAAGCATAGACATCAGACATGCTATAATAATATGTAGTAATACAGACATGTGAATAAATGGTACAATGAATGGTGACGGAGTCTTGGCGTCAGGCGTGTTCACATATCTTGGTATGTACATATCTATACATACCCCACAAAGGTTCAAGGAATGATTGGCACAAGGCACAAACAAAACCTTTGGATTTATTTCTTTGGATTTGTTTCTTATACCAGCCATAGTTGCACCATTATCATATCCTTGACTGCGGCAAAAGTTAATGTCCCCATCACTCTCCAAATTACTCAGGATATCCTTTGTGAGCTCATTTGCAGTTTTTCCAGCAATAGGAAAGAAACCCAAGAAAGATTCCCTTACTTCAACAGAATCACCTTCAATATGAACATATCTAATCACTTCGGACATCTGATCTGTATGAGAAATATCAGGTGTACTGTCAAAAAGAATTCTAAAATACTTGGCCTTCTTGATGTCAGCCAAAAATTTTTCCTTAACATTATTTCCTAGAAGACAGATGAATTCATTCTGAATATTTGGTGACAAATAAGAGCTCACTCTCCTTCCAGATGTCTGAGATGGAATAGCATGCTTAATCTCCAAAAGATGTTCTTTCAAAACAGGATCATAGTCTGATAGTAACTCCACCAGTTCCAGGAAATTGCCTTTGTTTATTGATAACATATCCTCCCTATGACCACGAAAAGGAAGGTTCTGTCGAGCTAGAAACATAGTCACATCCAAAAGACGATGAAGTATGTCCTTCCATTTCTCCCTCTCTCTGTCCATTGCAGCTTGATTACCATGATCAACAGTTCTTTTGAGCTTTAGTCCTGCCTCATGGCACCCCCCTCTGGCTGTCACCCGGGGCGGACCGCCCTCCACCCCCCCCCCTCCCCCCTTTAGTACGCCACTGAGTATATTTAGCTTATATAATCATATCACCCCCTGTAACTTTCCACTGGCTATGAGGTGACATGGTCACATCAATTGAGGGGTAGGTTCCACCCTTGAGGCGTGGCCCTAAAATGTGAGGTCAGCTAATAGAAGCCGGCTAGCGAGTTAGATGTTTGGGCCACGAGCTCTAAGTAGGGTGGACGATAGGGCCGAAGGCCAAAAATTTCCTAGCAGGAATGCATAGCACAAACAGCTGCCCCATCAAGGAAGGTGCCTCTCAGGACGGAAGAGAGCAGGACTCCCCATTTGAGTGGCAGTGTGCCAGATGCAGGAAGAAGGGTGTGACGGCCTGGCATCCAGGTTGCCTTAGGAGCCCGCCTCCACCCGCAATAGCGGTCACACTCAGTGACGCCAACGCCAACGCTACAGGGTCGCCGCCAACGCCTGAAATCAACAGCTACACCTCCCCACCCAGGAGGCAGTGTTACAGGTGCAGGGAGGAGGGTGTGACGGCCTGGCATCCAGGTTGCCCTGGGAGCCCGCCTCCACCCACAAAAGCGGTCCCACTCAGTGATGCCAACAGCAACACTGCAGGGTCGCCTCCAGCACCTGAAATCAACAGCGACACCTCCCCACCCAGGGGGCAGTGTCCCAGGTCCAGGGAGGAGGGTGTGACGGCCTTGCACCCCAGTTGTCCTGGGAGGTCGCCTCCATCCACAATAGCAGTGTCCCACTCAGTGATGCCAATGCGGCCGGATCGCCTCCACCACCTGAAGTCAACAGGCACAGTGACTCTCCTTCGTTAGCCAATGCAGGTCAGGTTAAAGCCTGCCAAGTAAGTGTACCAGTGAACAATGACAGTGATAGTGTTAGTGGAGCTTCTGAAGGAGCTCGTGCCTCCTCTCATAATGATGCCAACTTGAGGGTGAGTAGCCAGAGCGAGACCGATAGTGATGGTAGCATGGATGGGGAGAATGAGCCCCAGACTGCCAGTGTGGTCTCTATAATAGTCCCAGGTCTGAAGACTGTTCATGACCCTGTAAGTTTTCCATTGTTTACGGAAGAGGAACTCGCGGGACTGATGAAGGAACCCGAGTATAAAAATCTTACTGGAATAAGGGCTGTGAAGAACATTATCAGGAAATCCAGAGGTACAGAAATTGGAATGGTCAGCTTATTGGTCAGGCTGATCTATGAAGCCAGCATGCGACTCTCTACGTTAAATTCAAGGTGGGAAAAGTAACACGAACGCTTAGGTTCATTTCATGGAACATCCAGAGTGTTAATCGCAGAATTAATGATCTACAATGGTTTGTTAAAGTTTTTGACATTGATGTAATTGGCTTACAAGAACCTTACACGTCCAGCACCCAGAAGAAAGTTGCACCCAGGATAGCGGGGTTTACAGCATATAATAGTGGAGCAGGAAGTGGCCTGCTCACATATGTAAAGAATGGTCTGGTCTGTAAATGGATTAAAACTCACAATGATGAAAGTATTCACTATCAACCATTTACAGTAAAGACAGCAAACAGTCAATTTTCGCTGTATAACATCTACAGTGGTAGCGGAAAGTTTGGACGCAAAATTACAGGAGCCCAAACTTTCCGCTATTATCAAAACATACGATAAATACCAATTTCCGCTCAAACTTTTCGCTATATTTCAATGCTAGGGTTTGTACCGCTATTTAGGCGAGACAATACGCACTACTTGGCAACTCTGATTAGTCGCTTCAGTGAGCACATGGGTGCAGTGTGTAAACTTCTCTCACGCGGACTAGTCGTTTTTTTGCGTTCTGTTCTGTGTTTGTGCCTCAATATCTCTGTAATGGGAAGTGATACAGAGCTGGGAAGAGACACAATTGTTGCTATTATAACCCTCTATAAGGAGGGTTATAAGTGTAAAGATATAGCCACTCGTGTGGGAATAGGAGTGCGCCAAGTTCAAAAGTGGATCAAGAAATTTAGAGACGGCGGAGGTGAGGATATTCCTACCCCCAAGCCTCGCTCTGGTAGGCCAAGGAAAATACAAAATCGTACTTCCAAGGTTATAAAGAGGCAGTTGGATAAAAATCCAACACTCACAGCTCGAAAACTGAAGGAAAATAACCCTGCACTGCTCCAGGACGTGTCTGTAAGATGTATTTCTGATCATTTACTCAAAGATTTACAATATCGCAGTTGTTGTGCTAAAGTTCTTCCCCTCTTAAGTGCAAAAAATGTACGGGATCGCATTGCTTTTAGCAAGAAATATAAGGATTGGACCCTAGAAGACTGGGAACAAGTCTTGTGGAGTGATGAGTCAACGTTTGTGGTGTCATCTGGCTGCAGGTCCAAGCGTGTCAGGCGTCCCAAAGGATCGGACCCAAATGACCCCCGCTACACAGCTAAAGTTGTAAAGCATGCTCCAAGTGTTATGGTGTGGGGATGCTTTGCATTTGGTGGAGTTGGCAATTTAGTATTTTTTGAAAAAAATGAGAGTGTAAATCAGCACAGTTATTTCGAGTTATTGTGTGATAACCTGCCTGAAAGCTTTGAAAAGTGTAACGCTAGCTGGTTTATGCAACATGGAGCTCCTGCTCACACAGCTCGATCTATTATCCAGTGGTTAGAGGACTGTGGTGTAGATTACTTCAAAAAGTGGCCTGGGAATTCACCAGACCTAAATCCCATAGAGCACGTGTGGCATATCATTAAAAAAGAGCTTCAGGATCGTGACGCTTCGACAGTAGCGAAGCTAAAAATAGAAATACAGGATATTTGGGATAATATCATTCCCCAACACGTAGAAAAACTGGCAAGATGCATCCCACAACGTTTGGAGAAGGTCATCAAGCTTAGAGGAAAATCGCTTGGCAAATAAGGTACGTCATGAGCCCTATAAATATCTATTTAAATGTCAAAATTGTTTACATTCGTCTTGCGCCCAAACTTTCCGCTTACAGTATGTTCGGTGTAATGAACTGCGAGCGGACGTGTTACCAAAGCCAACAGGTAACAATGCTATGCTGTGTATGGGTGACTTTAACTCTCGTCACACTGTCCTCGGTGATGTCCAGTGTAACTCTAATGGGAGGGTGTTCGTGAATTACATCAATAATCATAATATCACTGTATACGACACAGACAAAGTGACACATCTGATGGGGGGCAGACTTGATTATGTGATTGGGTATAACCTAGTAGACAGTAATGTCAAGGCTAAGGTCATCTCAGACCACCTAGTCAGTGATCATTATGCAATACTTACTGAATACACTGTTGCTGATGTCAAGTGTGAACCCCATCCTAAGCTCAGAATTAATATCCCAGATAATCTTAAACTGCACTTCAAGGCCTACATCCACAGATGGTATGCTGGATATACACCTGGATCAGTGGATGAATTTTGCTGTGATCTTGTAAATGTCATTACCACATATTATACCACCTGGGTTAAGTCAAGGAGGAAGGGGGGCAGCACTATACCACCTCTGTGGACACATGACCCCATCCTCACCAAAGAAGGAGAGAATGTAAAACAGCTTGCCAACACTTATAAGCAAAATAAAACTTGTGATAACCTTTTGGCATTCCTCAAAGCTAACAGAGAATTTCGTGAACTCAAAGATCAGGTGAGAAACACCTATTGGGAACAATTCTTACAGGGGATTAATAGAACAACCACTCTAGCAGAAATGTGGAACAAAATTAGAGCCATTACCAAGTCACCCACCCCAGTCCAGCTTCATCACAGCCCTGCAGAATATGCTGACATGCTATTAGACCAATGGTCTAGTGTGTCACGAATCACTTCCCTGCCTCCTGACATTCAACAATATCTTAACACCTCACACATTAATAGGGGTTTCAATATTGAAATAGCCTGTTCCTCACCAGACCTTACCGACCAGTTTCCTATAACGCACCACGAACTAACAACAGCACTAATGAAAGGTGAGTCATCCTCCCCTGGTGAGGATGGCATAACCTATAACACCCTGAGATTGTTGAATGAGATCCCTAACCATCCACTGCTTGACCTGTATCAAATGAGCCTCACACAGGGTATTCTGCCTAAGACATGGACTCATGGAAACATAGTTCCAATCCCTAAAGCTAATTCTCCAAACTTCAGGCCAATTTCACTTACATCCTGTATGTGTAAAGTCGTTGAAAGAGTTGTTCTAAACCGTCTCATGTTTCAAGTCAAAGACAAACTCGCCCCTAATCTGTACGGGTTCATGCCCGGGCGTAGCACACAGACATGCTTTGCAGAATATCTTGTTCACTCAAAAGATAAGACACAAACAGCCTTCATAGACCTTAAATCAGCCTTTGATGTAGCTAATAGAGACATTATACTTGAGCAACTAGCTAATTTTGGCATACAAGGTAACCTCCTGACATGGATAAAGGGTTATCTGTCCAACAGGTATGCCAGTGTTCTGTTTAGGGGAATTAAAAGTACCAGAATGAGATCATTTGAGCTGGGCACGCCTCAGGGAGGAGTGTTAAGTCTTATGCTCTTTAATATACTGATGCACAAGCTTATTGCTGACATTCCAGCTCAGCCAAACGAAGCCGTAATATGCTATGCTGATGATATCTGCATTATGACACAAACCAAACTCAGGCTCCAAGCCTTGCTGGATGTATTTGCTCGGAGAACTGTTGAATGCGGTCTCATAATATCTGTTGACAAGAGGAGGGTCCTCAATCCTCGTCCTGCTCACCCTCTGCCTCTTGACTATAACATTAACAGCATGCCCTTGGAACTATGTAGCTCCTATAAATATCTTGGAATTTGTGTGAATGATGCAAACTTTGTCAGTAACCTTCGTGACAAACTAA